TAGTACGGGGGCGGGGGGGGTTGGCGTTGGTAAGAACCAAAATACAAAAAAGTTATTTTTAAATTCCATAATTTGTACCGCTTCCAATTTTTTTGTTTGTTATCGACATCACTTATTAACCGTCAATATTGATCAATATCCATGAAAAACAGAGGAAAAAACACAATATGATGTCAATCATTTACTATTTAGTATCAAAAGTCTATAAGCCAGCACCAACATAGATGGCACTTTTTAAGAAAAATAAAAAATAAAGCTAGGAGCGGGGATAATAATTTGAATATGTTTGATTACTAAGTGCAAGAAAAGAAAATTACTCCATTGCAATTAATAATCATAAATGTACAAAAGAGGAAAATCAAGATGGAGGGACGAGATGGAACTTTAGAAATATGAAAATATGAGTAATTATGGAAAGGCTCATAAATTTGTTATGAAGATATTTTTTATTCTAACCATGGTTAGACTTTCAGTTACTTAATTAGATCTAAGCCATTGATTTTAAAATAGGACAAGTGTCTCTTATCTAATTAAGAACTTGGGGAAAATGAAGAGACAGGAATGGAGAGGAGTTCCATCCATTTTAATTCGTCGAAGATAGCTAATTACCACACGAAGATAATACTTTCTTCTTCATTTTTATACGCTTACATATTCTCCTTTCTCAAGTTATTTACGATAGAATGTATATAACTTGGTAATCACTAATATATTGGTGATTGCCTTTATCAATTTGACAATTAGTTTCTTCCACATTTATTTCTTAAATGGCACGGGAGTAATAATATTTTAAAACTAATAACCTTCTTCTAGGCTAAATTAGGGAAAAAAACAAAATAATTCGAGACATATTATTCCTTGCAATTAGCACCGAACACACATTCGTTCATCATAAAGTTACACGAAAAAGAAACATTACAAGTAATATTGAGGTAATATAGGGAACCACAAGACTTTTTTTTGTTTTCTCTCTATAAGACATTGTGGAAAATCAAAGGTCGAAACACCAGGCTACTTTCTCTCTTGTTAGACGAACCTTGACTAGTCCATCAAATACCTGCAATCCAAAAATAGACACCTGCATGTAATTTACGTATAAAGAACACACGGTATATATGGTGCAATTAGAATTCTTGAGGGATACAATTGCAAAACGTACACATTTCGCCCCCCCATAGTGTTTGCTTAGAGAAAAATAAATGCTCTTGGTACCGATATTTTTTGCTTACTAACTAAAAAGAGGCGGATCCAGAATTTTGGGAAGATGTGTGCATTATTACGAAGAGATGGATCCAGAATATAAATTTTACGGGGTCAACCTTTAGTTCTTACTATTACACCTATTATACTTTTGGAATTAAAAATTCAAAATCAATTATTTTTAAAATAGTATTTTTTTACATTTATATTTAGACTCTGTATATAAAAAAAAATATTGAGCTCAGTTGAATTTATATACCATATGCTATATTATCCACTCCTACTAGTTTTAATATACATATTTTATTTAATCATATAATATTTTACGGTGACAAAAGAAGAATAGGAATTTTAATATATAAAAATTTTGAAAGAATAAACCAAAGAAAAAAAAGAAAAAGTACTTCATTATTAAGTGATAGCAGACATGCCCATCTCCTATGCGCACCTACTTCTAGAAAAAAAAAAGAGAAAAAAATAACAAGATTGACATAAGATTTGTATTCATAATTTTACTTAGAGAGGTTCATTCAATAACCATCGCAATCATATGATAATTTGAGCCTGTGCACGCGCGCACACACATATATATAATTATTTTTAAATAATATAACATTACTATACACGACCTAGGGAGGGAGGCATAGGTTTACGTGCTCCATCCTAAAACATTTCCCCCCCCCCCCCCACCCCGACGCGGACGATACGGCCCGCTGTAACTAACCATATAAAAATAAAATAAAATTACTTATTTTTCAGAACTACATTTCGATCCATACAAAATACACCATAATGTTACTTACTCAACAATGTGGCATAACACCACACTTGAGAGATCAGCAATGAAAATCTGTTCCAAAAAGAAGACCAGCAATAGCGCTCCCTTTGCACAGCAGCATTCAGTGCTTTACAGCAATTTTTGATTGTCAGCAACCACCATTGCAGTGAACCAAAGCTTCCTGAAAATTAACTGCTTGTCCAATGGCTCCATTGACACTAGAAGCCACAAAACACAAACCAACAAAATGGCTAAACTCAAACCCTTAACTGCCATTCTCTGATATCTTAATTAGCTCTCTTTTCTAGGTTTATCACTTACTACTACTTGCTCACTTTTGTTATTAGGGTTTTAAGATTTATACAGTGTTAGTGGTATATATAAAAAGAAAAGAGTTGAAGTATGGGGAAGCAATAAATGCATGCATAGATCTAGAGAGCGTTCGGCAAGTTTTATAATTTGTTTATTGGTTAAAAATGTAGACATGTAGTTAAGTATGGTGCAGGAACTTAGCAGTTTTCAGGTAGTATGGAAACTTCCTCTTTAATTAATGGGAGATTTACATAAATAGCCGGTTGAATCTATTATTTACTTTTTTAAATTTGGTATCACAGAGATTATACATTGATTATATAAGGTTATGACACTTGTATACATGGTTACAACATATTACCTATCCATCAATTATTTTTTTTAAGAATTGGATGGGCAACTCTTTGGGGGTTTGGAGGAGTAGTCGTACATCCATAACAGATAACCTGGGATTGATTCCCCCCTCAATGTCTTCTCGGGTTCTGCTTTGCACAAAGGCCTCCTTTAGTCGGCCGGTTATATATTCTCCTCCGACTTTGTGGTTTCAGAGCTATTCTCAGGGAGGTTTACACAGTGCGCACAAAGTGCTCAGTCGAAGGGTAGAGGCTTGTGGCAGAGGTTGTAGCGGCTGCGAGTTTCTCCCCTCTTACAAAAAAAAAACTCTTTAGGTTAAAGGTATTTTTACACTGCTAAGTATAATTTAGGATAATTAATGCGAGCAATTGAACATATACACTGTAATTCTCATCGCAGATTATGTTTAGAAAATTACCGTTCGTAGCTATAGTTGAATCTTATAGCAAATCCATGGAACAAGAGATCCATTGTTTTTGATTAAAACAAGAACACAGCTCTTCTTATTTGCAAGCTATTTATATTTGTGTCGACTCTAAAACAAGAGCATTCTATTTTTCTCATATTATGTATTTTGCCTTGGTTGTAATTCGTTGCACGGACGATCAGTCTATACAGGTTGTATTCTTTGTATACACCCATGTATTTGCCTTGGTTGTATTCGTTGCACGAACGAATCCAAGTTGATACAGTTCGTATCTTTTTATGACCCCAGAATAAGAAGTAGGAAGGATAGGCAGAGCAAGAGCTCTTGAAGTCTACCCGGGCGCCCTTCTTCAATTCATCCACTTTAGGCCCGGCTTAGGAATCTCTCTTT